TCAACAAACGATTGTTACAGTTAGACACGATGCTGTGCGATTGTTTTCGTTTTTTTTGTCGTATTATCATCAAAATTCTATCATAATTTTATAAAATGGCGGTTGGTGGTGACGGTGGGTCTTTGAAATCTTTCAAAAAAAAATACAAAATATTTTCAAATTTTATCACTTATTAAATCGACCTTATCATCATCATCATCATCATCATCATCATCATTATTATTATTATTATTATTATTATTATTATTATTATTATTATTATTATTATTATTATTATTATTATTATTATTATTATTAATCCAAACCGATTTTCCTTGACTTTTATATCGGAGACAAAAATTTATTAAACAATCGCGAAATTCGTTACCTCGACTCGAAACATAACATTTAAAAAAAATTTTTTTTATTTTTTTTTTTAATTTCGAGATGATACGAATAAATCGATACGATATAACGATAAAATCGTTATCGATTAATTTTTTATTGATGATGATAATAATAATAATAATAATAATCCCACTTATTCCAGAGTAACCGCTTTTACGTCATAATCTTTTTTCCGGTCCGTGGACCACCCGTAAAAAAAAAAAAATCCTTCTTCGAATTTGTTTCATTTGACAGATATTTTTCCAGAATTTTCCATGACACACACAAACACACGCACTCGCACACGCACTCGCACACGCACTCGCACACGCAAATATAAAATCTTTCACGTATGTCCTACTCTCTCTCTCTCTCTCTCTCGTTTTATTTGCCGATTTAAAAAGTTTTAAAATCGAATTTGAGACCCTGTACGAAAAACGTTACGGTTCCAAATTTAAATAATGAGTCCGTGAAAAAAAACCGCATGAAATATCGATCGATTATCGATACGATTATCGTTTTATATCGAAATCGGTTATTTATTTTCGTATCAATTTTAATAATTTTGATCCGAATTTTTTTTCCAAGAGAAAAAAAAAACAACCAAAAAAATTATAATTATCCCCCAACAAACGACGAAATGTAATTAAATATAAACATAAAAAATTTATAATTTCAAACTCATTGTTTGTTTGTCCGTTTGTTTGTTTGTTTGTTTTTGTTTTTATTTAACAAAAGAATTCTATGCAAAAAATAAAAAATTAAAATTAGGTGCCTGCGTTTTAAAAATTTTTTTAAAAATCGTATCGTTCGCACGATAGCAATAATAATAATATATATTTATTATCATTATTATTATTATTATTATTAAAACGACTACTTTTTTTTTCCTTTTCTTCTGCCACGCCAATTCCGAGTCGAATTACTCACCTGTAAATTTTTTTTAGAATAAATCTTCTAACAAGTTTTTTTTTTTTTTTTTTTTTTTTTACTTATACTCATCAAGTTTAAATTTTCTTTTTTTTTTTTTTTTGTTGGCAGACAAACAACACAATTCTTAAAAAAAAAATTTCATTTTTTTTTTATTTCATTCAAAAAAAAATCGTTAAAATTCAACAACAACAACAACAACAACCGACCACACAAACTTACAAAACGTGTTGTTCATCATATTCAAACAAACACAAACGCACACATACAATTTCGTTTAAATTTTAAATCGGTTAACGGTTAATACAAGTTTGTTCGTCCATTTTCATTTTTTTTTTTTTCACTGAGAGAAAATAAAAGAAAAAAAAAAAACAATAACGGAACGAAATGATTTCCATTTATGATATCTTTTACATTTTATTTATTTATTTATTTTTGTTATTTTTCTGGACGAATTCCAAACTAATCGTTTAATTTTACACGATCGAAACAATAACAAACAAACAAACGGGACAAAAATTTTAATTTTTAAATGGCAACGAACTTTATCGTTTCCGTTTTTTAATTTTTTATTTATATGTGGGTAAAAATCAAACGAAAATTGGATTTTTTCGCCGTAAAAGGGTTGCGGTGGTGGTGGTTGTGAAACTTCGCGAAAAATTCTACCCCTAAGGGCAAACAATTAAAAGAACTTTACTCGCCTAAAAATTTCTCTTTTAACGTCTAACGTCATCAATCAAAAATTTAACACAAATTTCCCACCCATCGTTTTCTTTATTATTATTATTATTATTATTATTATTATTATTATTTAAACGGATACCTATTGAGCCAAAA